TTAACCCATAAAGGAAAGTGATCATTTTATGTTACTACTCTTTGTTTTCCCCTACAGGGGAGGATCAATCCCAGCCAAACACTAGCACTGAGCTACATTTCCAACCATACATTGCAATCCTTTAGACAACATAATGATTCTTTCAAGAAAATATTCACAATAATTTTCCTGGTGTCAGCGTGGACCAAAATGTTTTTTGTACTTCAGGGGGTCAAACCCAGGGCCTTAGATAGAGGCTCATGACTCATGCCCATAATTCCAGCTATTCAGTCGCAGAGATAAGGAGGATTGTGGGTCAAAGTCATCCTGGGCAAATATTTTGGAGGAAGGCATCTTGAAAATGCCTAACACAAAAATGTTTTGGTGAAATGGCTCAAGTGGTAGAGGGCCTGCCTAGAAAGGATGAGGCCCTGAGTTTAAACCCAAGGACCACTAAAAAAACAACAACCAAAAAACCCAAATTCCCAGGGCCTTGCTTTGGTATGCATGGACTCTATCCCCATGCTCCATGCTTAGTGACAATTTAGTATTCATGGATACCTAACAATACAGGAAACAGTCTCAGTAACTTCTACAGCTGGCCTTTCTAAACCAGCTTCATCCTTCAACACATGATATCTCCCTATTCTGACCTAAGTTGAAAACAGACCCTTTCTGTTCTCATTAACTCTACCATATTTAAGCACAACTAAAAGTACATCCTTTCAGATTCAGAAATAAAGATATAATTACATATACGTCAATAGCTGTATATAACTGTATGTTGCACAAACACACACACACACCCCTAATAGCAGGCACTGTGTTACTAAGCTAAATCCCGAGCTCTTTGTTTTCTGAGACAGGATCTCACTATGTAGCACAAGATAGCCTTAAACTCACTAATTGGCGCAGGCTGTTAAATTCTCTGAGCCTCCTCCTACTGCCATCCCAAGGCCAGGATTATAGAGGTAGATCTCCAGGCATGCTCTTGAAGGTGTGCTCTCTGATTGAAAAAGTACTTTGCATACTTTGAATCACAAAATATGCTATCTGCTAACTTTCTGCCCAACACTGGACTTCATGAATATCACCCTCAAGGTGAAGTGACAAGAATCATAAATACATATTTGGAATCTGTCCTGCATTTCTGGCACTTAGCTTTAGAGACTTGGTTCTGTCTATGTGACAATTCTGCAATATGGTGAGGTGGCTAATGGTTCAGGCTCCTAAGCAGCCATGCTGCTTGTTTGCAGGGTAGCCTGACATGAGATCACATGGTTGGAACTTTAAGAGCTCTCCACACCAGTGACTAATGATGTAATCAATCATTGTTCTCTAATGAATCTTCCTGAGAACTCAAAATGATAGGAAATGTAGACTTTCAACATTGCTGGAACACATCAAGGGGATGGGAGGTTGGTGCCTGAAGAGTACATGGAAACTCCTTCTGTTTCCCACAAACCTTTCCCCATGTCGTCCTCCTCTGACTGTTCCTTTGTGTGCAATAAAATGAGCTCTGCACCTGGTGCCATCATCATGACTATGATGCTTCCTGCTCAGGAGGCAGAGATCAGGAGGATCAGATTTCAAAGCCAGCCCCAGCCAAACAGTGCCAGAGACACTATCTCAGAAACCCCACCACAGAAAGGGCCACCAAAAATGAAAAAATGAGCTCTGTAGGGGATCAGCAAGTTTACATTATTTTCCTTTGGCAGGTGGTAAACTCTGCTTTGAAGTCAAATCAGCCAGTTGAGGACAACCTGAAAACCTACTACTTGTGGCAGTGTTCATTCTGTAGGGCTGAGCCCTTAACCTGTGGCTCTGCTGCTGTCTACAGAGAAGTGGTTTTAGAAATGGATTGAACAGCATGACCCACTGCTAGTGTATGAAAATGAGTTGTTGTGGGGAAAGGCCTGCACATCTTGGTCAGAGGTTTTGAGTGCACAGAGCATAGGAGAAAAGAGTAGGTTTGTTTTTCCCTAGACCAGCAGTATTGACTTTCAACTGTGATAGTGTCTTCTGATGTACAGTTTTGAATACTGAGGAAATCAGATTTATATACATTTTCCTTCTGTTATTCTGCTTTAGCTGTTACATTCTATAAGTCATTGCTAAATGTAAGGTCACAAATATTTGCCCATATTTCTTTCTTGTGTGCTTTCTAGTTTTACTTCTTACATTTAGACTCTGTTTCCTTTAATGTTGATCTGCATTAAGAGTACATTTTTATGCCACTGCCTGTGGTAGCACATGGATTAAGTTTTACTTCTTACATTTAGACTCTGTTTCCTTTAATGTTGATCTGCATTAAGAGTACATTTTTATGCCACTGCCTGTGGTAGCACATGGATTAAGACTGCTTGATAAAGATAACATTCTTTGCCAAATTTAAGGTTATTGCACTTATCAATCATCAATTCACTATAGACACTCCATTTTCATTTTCATAAGTCTTACCCTATATGGTTATTCCAGTTGTGTCACTTTCTTGATGACATTTGTTTTGTGGCATGATTTTTTTGGCACGACTAGTGTTTGAACTCAAAGCTTTGAACTTGCAAAGCAGGCATTCTACTGCTTGAGACACACCTCCAGTTTACTTTGCTCTGCATGGTTTGGAGATAGGGTCTTGTGAACAATTTTGCCAAGTGGGCCTGATCTCAGCCTTCCAAGTGGCTTGGATTACAGGCATGACCCACCAGCACCAGGTTTGTGGTGATTTGAAACTGGGAAATGTAAATAACAAATTTGGTTTTCATTTTGACATTGTCTGTTGAGTATACCTTGAAATTCCATATGACTATTTGCATCAGACTTCCTATGCTACCCATAGGAATAAGATGAGTGTATAATGCATGGTATAACCTAGACAACCTAAAATTAAAATTTTCTATCTATGGACATGACATCAATTTTCATTTAATTGGGGTTTTCATATTTTCTTTCACCAAAATTTAGTAATTTTGTTTGGATTAGTTTTGAGACTTCTTAGGCATATTCTTTTTCTTTAGTGATACTTTGGTTTAAACTCAGGGCCTCACACTTGCCAAACAGGTGATTATCACTTGAGCTAGATCCCCAACCCATTATTGTGCTGGGTATGTTCAAGATATGGCCTTGTGATTTATTAGCCTGGGCAAGTTTTGAATGGTAATGCTCCTCATCTCTGCCTCCTGACTGGAGAGGTTTATAGGTGAGAGCCAATGGCATCCAACTTTTTTCCTTTTTCTTTTCTAAGGAGTATTCAGCCCAGTTGTTTTTACCATTTGGACTCCTGGTATCATCCTAGGTAGCCAGGCCCACTATTACTTCAGCCACTCACTCAGGAATTTTCCATTAGTTACTTTTCAGATAGGGTGTTGTGTTTTTGCCTAGCCTGAACCTGAACCATCATCCTCCTATCTCCACTTTCCAAGTAGCTGGTATTAGAAGCATGAGCTACTCTCCCTAAACTAAATAATGATGTCATCACAGCCTCAGCCTACCAGTTACTCCTAGATGTGGCCTCTACTCTGTCTGTTCTCTGTGTTGTGCATCCTAGACTCCCTGTGACTCACCTCTAGTGGGGGTATCCTTCAAGTGTGCTCTTCAACCCTGGGCCTCCCATCACTAACCCTCACTGGTAGAGAGTACTTTATTTGCCCTGCATGACAGGTACCATTTGATGGTGATGATTAGTAGAAGATTTTCATACAAGCTATTACAACAAAATAATCATATATGATTCATATTGGCTGAAACTCTTCATTCAGAGCCTATCCCAAAAGTTTGTGCAACAGCTTAGCAAATTTTTAAGAAAATAACTCTGGCTTTAATCATTTTTTTGTAAAAACCCTCCCAAATATAAACTTCTGCTCTCCTTAAATTCCACTTGGTGTATTTACACAAAGTAGAATGGGTTTTGTACACATAGCCTTATGCTCAAGGTTGGAAGGAAGTGCCCCATGCCATTACATGCAAATTGTCTTTATCCTAAGCTTGGAAAACACAGTTATCCCATTTCACAGATGAGAATCCTGACAAGTGTTTTTAGGAAACACTTCTGTCTGAGAACCAACTCCATGTCCTTAAACATCATGTGTCCTGCAGCCATTAACTGGATTTCTTGCCCCTTTCTTGGCATTCACCTGGTCCCTACAAATGAAGGGTCTTCCCTATTATGTCCTCCATGAAGGCCTATGATTATCCTCCCCACAGGAGCCATGTGCTTTGCCTGTGTCTTCAGTGTGTCCATATGGAGTGCTCAAGTTTGTACATTATTGTAAAAATGTTCAACTTAAAATAAATGCATATTGAAATTTTATTAGAAGTAAAAAGTAAAATAACTAACATACCAAACATTGAGATGAAAAAAACAGAAAAAGTAAAACACATTTTCCAGGGGAAGGGAAGGATGGCTCTGGGCGGACTTCAGGAGACAATTCCAAGGGAGGTGCCAGAACTGGCTCTGTGGTTCTGACATGAAAAGATGTTCTGCCAAACTTGGATTGTGATCTGGATTGTTCTATGGGCAAGAAGTAACTTCTACAAAGGTAGAGGTTGGTTAATTACACCTATATTGAGAGAGCCAGCTGGAGATCTACAGTCATCAGATCTTCAACGATTCTGCCATTCCACAGCTGTAGGTATGACTGTGTCAGCTATTTTAGGTAGAGCCAGGTGGATTTACCCAGTAGTATTAAGTTGTTCCAGCCCTTCTGCCACTGAAATAACTTGCTGTATCTTCCCAGGTGGGATAGAATCCTGTGGTTGCTCTGGGTCTCCATCTAGAGAAGAAGAAAGGCTGGTAGTAGTTACAACATTGAGGGTATGAGTAATAGGTTTTTTCCTTAAGGATCAGTGTTATATGTGGCCCCAAATCTAAGGATGGAAACAGATGTACTGCTAGTCAACACAGTTCTAGAAGTTCATGTTGTACTGCACTTGAAGGCTTATAAAAGATGGCATGATAAGTGGCATTGCCTGAGCCTTTCCACACAGAGAAGACCCCACTTGCCAGGAAATGCCCAGTATCTCACCCAAGAACAGGACATCTTCCCAGACTGGGGTAAACTGATGTCTAGTGGCAAAAAACACCAGTCTCTTCAGTCTGCTCCCGGTCAGGGCCAGTACCCACACCTCCTCCCCTGTTATAAGCCACTTACTGAAGGTCTCCTCACTGTGCTTGAGCTGTGTATCAGTTGATTCCAAGTCCTCTAGCTGAGTCAACAGACGGTGGACACGAACTGTCAGTTCTGAGAAAGGCATGTTGACCAGCAGATAGGCCATCAACTGATTCAAGATGGCCAGGTCTTCAGACTTGCAGAAATCATCAGGATACTTGTCCAGCCACATCCCGAGGAAGAAGCAGATGAGGCTGGGGACAGAGTGGGGGGCACTAATGTCACAATCTGTCTTCTGCATTCCCAGTATGTGAATGGCCTCTTGCTAGGAGGACACCCATACAGAGGCTGCTAGGTCATGTGCAACTAAACATTTTTGGAAGAGGGGTGAAGTCCACTCGAACAGGGTGTTCACCTCATCTTCTGTCCAGGCCTAGTTCAAGAATAGTGCTGGGAAAGTGTGGTTATGATGAGTAGGGTGAGGGGGGATTCTCACTGTGGCCAGCCCTTGAATCTCCAGTCTCCTATCACCTCCCAAATTCCCAGGATTCCACCAATATCTCTGTATTCCTCTGCCAGCTTGTCAATCCCAGGTTCAACCACTAGGGGAAATGAAAAGTGGTGTGGAATCCAGAGTTTTCCCACATCCAACCTCAGTCCCAATAATTTCCCCACCCACTATGTGGGAGTCCTCCTTCTTGACCCAAAGTCCACTCACTTCTTTATTTGCTCATCCTCCTCACAATCATCATGGAAGAATCCATACCTACAGGAAGATACAAGGGTGTCACTTCTAATATTGTGTGTTGCCCACCTTCCATTCCAGAATTTAATGAACTGGCTGAGTCCCAGATGAGAATGGTGATCTTGGATGGATGTCAGGTTTGTCCTGAGTATTCCTGAATTATAGGCTAACTGATTTGTAATGGGCTGATATACATTACATCATTCATGTTTGTGCATTTACAAAACCTACCCATCTTCTTCCCAAATATTTCAATGGGCACAAGTCTATTCAGAGCACATGTGCAAGTCTTGCTCTGATTTCCAAAACTCAGAGATTCCCCAGATGGAATCTAGAAACTCTTTAACATGGCACAAGTGCTATTCATGAGTCTTCTTAGATCAGTGAGGCTTGAGGAATAGACTTTCTTCATAGTGGAGATGCAATTCACACACAAGGGCCACACAGGCTTGGAAGTTCACTTTACAGGAATAAGCCCTGGGAAAGCCTTGCAGGGATCATCACGCTTGATCTGAATTGCACCATATTAAAGCAAGCGGACCCAATGTGTTTTCTAATACTCTGAAGAAAGGGATAGAGGGGACAAGCCCCATTGGACTGTATCTGGGATACTCACCTTTTAAAAAACAGATCCAGCACCTGCTTAGTAGTGGAGAACCTTCGGTAGGCGTACAGGAAGGCTGGAACAAAGAAGGGATCCCCTCTCTGCAGGGAAGGCACCAGGTTTTTCACAAGCTTCTCCAGCATGCCAGGCTCTAGGATTTTCCCACTGCAAGGCTCACCCAGGACATGGGTTGACTTATGTTCTCCCTTAGATGGGATCAAGGAAGGACGGTTTAAACATGGAATTTTTAGCAAACTGAAAAATTAGAGGTATAGTATGAATTAAAAACTGTACATAAAAAATTATCTTCAAGAAATTCAAATGGCCAGAAAACACATGAAAAAATGCTCACCATCTCTAGCAATAAAGGAAATGCAAATTAAAACCACACTAAGATTCCACCTCACCCCTGTTAGAATAGCCATCATCAGCAACACCACCAACAACAGGTGTTGGCGAGGATGCGGGGAAAAAGGAACCCTCTTACACTGTTGGTGGGAATGTAGACTAGTACAACCACTCTGGAAAAAAATTTGGAGGCTACTTAAAAAGCTGGACATCGATCTACCATTTGATTCAGCAATACCACTCTTGGGGATATACACAAAAGATTGTGACACAGGTTACTCCAGAGGCACCTGCACACCCATGTTTATTGCAGCAATATTCACAATAGCCAAGTTATGGAAACAGCCATGATGCCCCACCACTGATGAATGGATTAAGAAAATGTGGTATCTATACACAATGGAATTTTATGCAGCCATGAAGAAGAACGAAATGTTATCATTCGCTGGTAAATGGATGGAATTGGAGAACATCATTCTGAGTGAGGTTAGCCTGGCCCAAAAGACCAAAAATTGTATGTTCTCCCTCATATGTGGACATTAGATCAAGGGCAAACACAACAAGGGGATTGGACTATGAGCACATGATAAAAGCGAGAGCACACAAGGGAGGGGTGAGGATAGGTAAGACACCTAAAAAACTAGCTAGCATTTGTTGCCCTTAATGCAGAGAAACTAAAGCAGATACCTTAAAGCAACTGAGGCCAATAGGAAAAGGGGACCAGGAACTAGAGAAAAGGTTAGATCAAAAAGAATTAACCTAGAAGGCAACACCCACGCACAGGAAATCAATGTGAGTCAATGCCCTGTATAGCTATCCTTATCTCAACCAGCAAAAACCCTTGTTCCTTCCTATTATTGATAATACTCTCTCTACAACAAAATTAGAGATAAGGGCAAAATAGTTTCTGCTGGGTATTGAGGGGGGGGAGCAGGAGGGAGTGGAGTGGGTGGTAACGGAGGGGGTGGGGGCAGGGGGGAGAAATGAACCAAGCCTTGTATGGACATAGGAATAATAAAAGAAAAATGAAAAAAAAATTATCTTCAAAACTCAGACTAAAACCCATGGTGGAGGTTTCCTGGGGCTCTTGTAGAGGTTTAATCAGAGCAGTTGCCTGGACTGTGTATACCTGCAGTTGGCTGCTCTCTGTCATCTTTGGCTCGCTCTTGGAAAATGACCTCAATTCCCTTGTTGTGTCACGAGGTCTGGTCCACTGTCTCCAGAAATGAAGAAGCCATCCAATCTGGGATTTCCTGTGGCCTGAGCCAGAGGATGTTGGAAGACAACAAGAGAACACCCTGCTCTCTACAGGGTTTCTGACCAAGTGATCTGGCTGTTACTGGCTGTGGAATCTGGCCACCTGCATACCAGGATTCCAGGTTCTGTTGGGTCATTGTCAAGGAAGTGGAGTCACCTTCCAGGGTCCCCTTCCTTGAGCCTGTTCCTCAAAAAAGACCACCCAAAATGACCCCCAGGTTACCATCTAATACTCTCCCACATCATAAATGCACACAGGGACACACATCAGCACAGCCTGTCCTAGCCCACAGTTTTCAGCCAGTGCTGGCAGTGGCTAGTGCCTTACCTTCAAAAAGCTGACCCGGCTAATGCAGTGCCTCATTCTTCCCATTTGTGGAATCCTGGACAAGTCATTTTGCCTCACAGAATCACACCAGCAATCCCCCCATCCCTAGGATTAATGCCACATCTGTGACCTAGGGTACTGTCAGGTGTTCATGCCCATAAACATCTGTATTACCAGTGAACAAGGACAAGTATCAACTGCAGCTAATGCAAAAACTGAAGAGATGGGAACATCACAGAAAGTCACTGAAGACACAAATTCCTTCTAACACATATATGTACATGTAAACACACACAGAGAATCACAAGTGCACACAGAGATACGATATGTACGGACAGGGTCTCCCCCAAACACCAAGCCGTAAATGTCCACACAAATGCACAAGAGCAGGAGAATGAAGTCAGGCTTATGAAAATAGTGTTAGTGTTAATAACAGGTCAGACTTAGTGATTTGTAACTGACTTAGGTTTAGGATCAAATTTAGGGCTGGGTTCAGTGCAATTAACATTATGTTGTAGGATAAGTCCATGATTTTAGGAGTAGTGTTTGAGTAATAAGGTTAAAGATAGGGGAAGGAGTAGAGATCGTATAGGAGATAGGGTGCTGGTCAATATTAGTGACTGACTGAGTATAGCATACCATGCCCCAAGGAGACCACACATGGTCAATGGAAGCCCTGGTTCCAGGTAAACTCAGGGTCACTATGGTGCAGATGGAGTACAGCATGATTGCTACCATAAGAGCATTCTCCTCTCTGGCAGAGGTGTACACATAGAAGTGCCATGTCCACTTTTGGTTATTCTGGTGTGAGACCTATATTATCTATGTGACTTGCAAACTTCTTTTCCCGTTATTTTTGATGGTGTACTTTAAAGCACAAGAGTTTTTAGATCTGATGAAGGTCAATGACAATTTTCTTGTGTCACTTTTGTTTTTGGTGCCAGACCCTAGAAAATATTCTTTAACCTAAGTCCACAAAATTGTTTTGCTATATCTTTATGGATTTGGGTATATATATCTTAAGTTCTCTTGTATATATTTAACTTGGTTAAAATTTACATTTACACATGTGATCAGTTTGGGGGGAATTTCCAGTTGCTATTGTGGATACACAAGTATGCCAGGGACATCTGATGAAAACATTTCTTAGGTGGGTCCTAGTAGAAGATAATCATAGCATGAGGAGTGTCACTCTTTTAAATGATTCAATTGTAGTCTTTGGTCGCCAGTTACTGGCCATAAGAAAAGATCACATCTGGATTCTGAATCTCTTTGGCTTCATGTCACAACAATTGATACCTGTTGCAGGCACTCAGGCACTTCAGCCTTTTTAACCTCACCCATCATGAGACCCTGATCATGGCTCTGTCCTATGGCAAAGCATGATCTATAATCTTTATAAATTATTGAAGCTGAGCTATTTTGTTATAGCCACTGAAAACTGATTAATACATGTTCTAGTCAGCGTGTATTAAAGAATGTCCATTGCTTAGAATCTCAGTAATTTTGTCCATTTAAATTTAATTATTTTCAATATATATACCTTCCATATGTTTTACAGTCATTTCCAAGTTTTCCTTTATAAGTGTATTTTTTTCTTTATGGACAGTACTGGAATTTGAATTCATGGATTCCTGCTTGCTAGGCTGGAGCTGCAATACTTGAGCCATTGTGCCAGCAACAGGAGTCTACTTTAATTGGAATATTTTTCAGCTTTACTTTTACATTGTTAGTTGCTACTGTGAGTAAATGTTACTATTTTGTATGTTCATATTGTGGATTGAAGCCATGCTGAAATGGTGCTTTTATATTCTTTTTACAGTTTGTTCTAATTTTATTTCATTAGAGTTCTTATAATATTTATATATAATAATCAAGTGTATTCCTAAAAGACATGCTCTGTCTTTCCAATCTACACACCTTACGTTTATTTTGGAAGCATTATTTGCTTAGGTTATATCCACTAACACAGTGGTGAATACTCATGGTATTATTGGAAATCTTTGCCTATTTTCTAATCATTGTAATAAATACAGAGCTGTTAGAAAAATCGATATTTTGAGATTGTTATTTTGATGCTTCCTTAAGTTGAAATTTTGTTTAGATCCCTAATTTCTTGCATGTTGTTATCATGAATGGTTTTTGGTTCTGCATGCTTTACTTTTCTGCTCGGACTGGTGTTTGAACTCAGGGCTTTGTACTTGCAAAGCAGGAGCTCTACCACTTTAGCCACACCTCTAATCCATTTTTCATTTTCCTAAATCTTTGGAATGCCACAGTCACCATGCATACTTTCTACTAACTGCTTGGAATTTCTTTTTCCTCAAATCATTGAATATAAAAATACTTCTTGACAATAAAATAAGAATTCCAATAGCACTCTCAAAAATATTTCCAATAATTTGATAGAATATGAAATGACTCGGTAGATTTAAGTGTAAATATGTTTGAGTATGGACCCTTAATTATGCACCAAAATTGAGTCAATGAGACACCATGATTTTACAATGACAGATAGGTAGTTACAAAGAAATACAAGGTATTCCATTTCTTCCATTTTGGAATAGAGATGCACGTTAAAATTGATATTGTTTGTCTAAGGTTTTTATTCTATAATTGCGGCATACAACAATGTTGGATTTTAATTGACCTGAGGCATACATTTTCCAAAAATCCACCAGTATTAATCAACACTGACTTCATACTTAGCAGAGACCTAACATTATTGCACAAATGCTATGTATAATTACCCCATTCAGTCTGCAAAACATGATGGTGTCACTATCATGGCACAATTGTGAATCTGAGCTAAAACCCTACTAAATAGAAGCAGAGTATTGTGCTTGACTCGGTTTATTCCATATTCTTTCTGAAATCAAATATGTGTCTGAGTATTTTTTCTCTTATACAGTAATACTTTCTAGGTCTAGCGTCAGACATTATACCTTACCTTATGATCACTTATTAATATCCCTGTTAACATATTAAATACTATATTAATTTGTTTCTAATTAGGTCTACAACCCTAGAAGAATTGATATTTTGTATTATGTGAGGTTGAAGTTCAGGTTTTCATTTTCCCATGGATGTTTAACTTCCTAGAACATTTATAGATAGACAAATATTTCAATTCTTTTTTAGTTTTTAGTAGTGCATAAGTATGCAAAATAATCTTTTTCATTGTAATGTTTTCATGCATGCAAATATTTGATCATATTTATCCCCACTACCATCACATATCCCTTATTTTCTCCCCATGAAACAGATGGCCATGTAGATGGTCAAGGGCTGAATGCTGGAGATATGGAAGGCACATGGACTGCACTGTGTGGGGTCTCATCTCATGGAGCATTTGATCATAATAGACACAGAAATTAGCAGAAAGGAGAGAAGCAAACTACTGGCCATTTATCATAGTGTTATTCACATGCAAGGTGACTCTAGATTTACAGTATATTAGGAAATTATTACAAAAAGTTCCTAGCTAAGTGAAAAAAAGTGTTAGCTCAGGAAGAAATGTTAGCTCAGGAAGAAACATATTAAGAAAAAATAAATGTCATGAGATGGTACTAACCTCCAGAAGCCCATGGTACCCCACAGAGAAGGATATTAATCGCCAGATAACAGAAGGGATCTAGAATGATATAACTGTAGATTTAAATGATCCTGATAATGTGAATCCATTAATACATAGTATAAGAAGAGAAGAGTTACCTGAAATAGTGTTTAAAGTTTGTCACAAATTGGTCAGGACAGAAAAAAGGAAAGCAGTTAGCACGTAAATTACTTAGGAAGTATAGCTCTATAGCCCAATAGATCTGTGGAAAATATAATGACAGATAATGTAAACAATGTAATGAATGACACCCTGCAACCACAGGATCCCCTTCAGGAGGACCAATGAAAGTTTAATGATCCTGGGGGGTAGCATCAATCTGTTATAGATATTAAAATTGTAACAGATTACAATCACAGATGAAGAGGATTCCACAACAGAGGAGCAGCAAGGAATACATCATACCCAAATTACAAACCTTAAGACAGAATTCATGCAAAAAACAATCCATGCCTATTGATTGGCAAGTTTACTCGAGACGCAGGGAAACAAATACCTTAAGTGAAGTGAAATCAATCAAATCTTCCACTACCAAGAAACCCAAACCTAAACAAAGAGCTTCTAAGGTTCTTAATTAACTACCCAAACAGATTCCTGTCATTATGAGGTTAGATAGCAGTACACTGAAGTAGAAAACACCCTTGTAACACCATAAAATTGGGGCAACTTATAGCAGATATAGATCAAACAACTAAGAACATCAGAAAAGCAGCCATCCTACCACTAACATATAAGCAACAGATGCATGCACATTTTGCACTGGAACATTTAATTGACCAAATGCATCAGGCATAAACTACATATCAAGACAGCATGAGATACCATGACAAACAAATAGGACAATAATTGGCTAGGAACAACGGGACACCTAGACAGCCTCAGGAACATAACCCAAAATATAGACATAACTCCACAGAATGAATACATTTCCCCCAACAAAATAACAAAGAAACATGCAAAAGTACACAAATAGAAACACACGAGGGTTCTTTTTAAAAATACCCAAACGCAGTGATACAGCTAAACATCGTATACTGAGCTGAGCAGCTCACAGGTAATTTAAAAAGAAAAGAAAATTAGGAGCCTATGGTAGGTAGTCAGCAAGTGTCCAAGAAAAGGTAACATTTGCTCTGGACCTGGTGTTTGGAACGATCACCTTCTGAGAGATTTTGCCTGTCAAGTGCTTTCTTCAACAAGAATATTTACCTACAGCGTGTCTCACTTTGGATTGGATAATTTTCTCCCAAAGGCCCTTATGTTGAAGGTTTGCTCAGGTAACACATGGACGTGGGGAAATGTTGATTACAACAAATTGGCTGTCATGGTGGGGATGTTGATAATGTGGAAATCCAGTTTGAGGGGGCAGGGGAGTATGGGAAATGTGAACTTTCTATTCAGTTTTGCTATGGACCAAAATGCA